ATATATATATGTCTATGAAACATATAGAAGACGAGAGGTCGTTGTTTAGTATCTATTTTGTCCAATTGTCGAATACCTCGTTTAATCCTTTTTACTGACTCTAGTTCCAAACCCCTTTTCGACTTGATGGTTATGTCGAAACATGTTTGTATAAATTTCTTTTCTGCTATTAATTGCATGATACATCACATTTTACCTAACTAATTCATGTGTACGTTATATTCTTACGAATGATTAGACCTCTAACATCAATTAGATGCGACAAGTTTCACTGATTGGCACTCCAACGGAATATGCCTCGGTGATTATTTTATTATAAAAAAGGGTAAATTTTAAATTAAAAAAAATGTAAGCAAGACATGGGGTGTGACATAATTGAGAAAAGAATAGTTAAATTAGCATTAGACTTTTTGTAAAGGGTTGTTATGATGTATCTATTGAAAGGATGAGAGCCCCTCTAATAGACAAAGACTTATGCTTCCCAATACTCATCATAACTTAATACTTGCAAATCAAACATCTCCACCTTCTTTCTTTAAATAGTAAGTCAAAACCCCTCTCTCTCTCTCTCTCTCTCTCTATATATATATATATACTATATTATAAAGCATTTGACAAAAACTCATAAAAACAATTTTTATGTATGAAGTACTGTTTATTGATGCATATTACTTAAAATTCAATATTACAAGTAAATTGTGTGTAAGTACAACTTATTAAAGCTTTACATTTGAATTTGTGTAATTAACTGCAGATAAACATAATCAAATAGAGGATAAACATCTCATTTTAAATATAAAAAAAACAAAAATATAATTAGGATAATCATTGAGTTCTGACAAAATACTTAATTATTATATTTATAAGAAAATTATATTATTAAACCACATATAAATTACTTCGTTATTAAACATAAATTTAAATTATAATAAAAAATTGAATCAAAAAATTACACACAAATAAGAATTTTAAATAGTTAATTTGATATTAATATCAATATATTTTTGTCAAAATTTTATGATATCTTCAAATTTATATTTCATTCTCAAATAAGAACATTATCGCTTTTCCAAAATCACGTAAGACCATATTATAACATCGAGTGAGATAAAGAATAAAATGAAATATTAAAATCAAGATGTATCTCGTTGTATTGCGCGAATACCCTTCTAATATATATATATATATATATATATATATATAATACATCATGTTGAAAAGTAAGATGTTCCATATGGTATGAGTATGTCATGTATAGTTGTCTGTATGCAGGACAAAAATCGATAAAGAAGTTCTATAAATGATCGTAAAGGAGTAGGGGCCATGCCTCCTTCACCTGAGGCTACATTAATCGAGCATACACGACAGAAGGAATTGTTCTATTTCCAAGGCAGCAGAGGGGAAGAAACATCAACAACACGAAAACTTTGTTAAGAAATGGATCTGGATAGAATGTTTGAGCGGTTTGGATCTTACAGAATTAATAGAAAGTATGTTCTTTTGTATGTATATATGGTTAGATAATCAGTATATATTCTCTTTTGTATTTACGTTGAAAGTGATTATGAACTGTAATTTAACGTAGATGGAACGAAGATGAGATGTTCTACGGTTGAAAAGCTTCCAGATATTATCTTGAAAGTTTATGCTATAAATGATAACAAAATTAAAGATGTCGTTGTCCGTTGAAAAGGTTTAAGGTGAGAATTCATCGTCATGAAAGTTAATTTTCAGAGCGATAAAGTACCATCTCCATTACACACGACCATTGAAAGATTTGCAACGAAATTTGTCGCATTAGTGACGTCTTTTATATGATTATGCTATATTCAAGACCATCGGTATCATATATAAATTAGTATATTCTTTCCACCTTTTATTGTCGTATATTATATGTTATGAATTACATGCATGATTCAGACACTAAAAAATTTAGAAACGAGTAATGAACAAGGACTAGATGTGTCAGAAACTAAAAGATGGAGTACAAGGGGTTGTTTTGACCAACAACCAAAGAGTTGGGTTAAATCGGGAATGAGAAGAATTGTGCACACTGTATAAGAAAATTAGGTTTATAGAGCGTAAAAAGTGTCATAATAGACTACTTTATAAAACTTAAGTTTATAGTACCAAACAATCGTGTATCTTATATAAACATGATACAGTAACTTTATCAAACGGTGACATCATTTGACTATAAGAAACAAATATATGGATATTTTTTCACGAAACCATCACTAGTCTGTTGGTTAGTTCATTGTTTTTCATATGTGAGGTCAATATGTTCAAGTTTTCTATTGCAAATTTTTCAGAAACATAATAAATCTGAAATTAAAAGCTAAAAACTAAGAAAGTGACACTAATTGGATTTGAACTCGGGTCTAGGGTGGAAGAAAAGCCCTGCAACCAACTCTACCAAGGGAAACTTGTGTCCTTATTATAGTTTCAAAATATATACGGTGGCACACAACAAATTGATACGATGACACTTTTTACGACCCTATAACTTTTTACACTACAACGGAGGAACGAAACAGTGGCACGTGCCACCACTTGAACCACTTGGGTCCGTCCCTGAATTTATAGAACTCTTTTAGCGTCTTAACAAGTTTTTTTTGAATGCTTTTAAAATAAAATGTTGTATGGTTTTTATAGCACAATTTGGAGAATCTTCTACAAACAAATCTTGTTACAGGAAAATTGTATTTATAAGACATTGTTTCAAATAGTATTGTATAAAGATGTCATAAAAAATGGTTAAGCTACCCAAGAACATCCTATAAATTTATTGTAACACTTTTATATATGACACATCATTGTTTAAATCTTTGAACTTAACTCCTATTATAAAACAGTCCATTAGGACATATACATTTTTTGCATTCTATAAACCGAATCTTGTTTTTTTTTATTAACCCTGCTATGCAAGCCGAATCTCAAGACGACCACCTGCTTTGCAGATAGCCCGGAGTCACCGTATTTGAACCTCCGTGGCCACAAGAGAATTTTTTTTCCTCTGTGGATTTGAACCTGGGACCTCCAGGTACTTTTGATCTTTGGAGCCAAGCTCAAACCAATCAGGTACCACCCTTGTGGTTAACCGAATCTTGTTGTAGTGACAAGAGAAACCGAACGGTTTCCAGCAACAAAAAGAAGATATTGTTGTTTCCAAGTTGTCTCCAAAAGAAATTCAGAAAAAGGTGTGGTGTTGGCAAAAAGATAAGTAATGAAAGTGAAGGGAATTGCAAGAAAGATTCAGTAAAAACCAATATAAGAATTTGACTTAACGTCTGTTGTAGTACGCGATCAATAACCTACAATATCATAGAGATGTTTAAAACATCGAATGGCACAAACACGAGATGTTAAGACCATGAACTGAACAAGAAAACGACAAATACGCGAAGAATCGTGATCAATGTCTATATGAACGAATCAAAGCATGTTGGTATAAATTGTGGTTGTCCAAGCATGCCAATGAACAAAGTAATTCAGGCTTGAATTTAAGTGTTTATGCCAAAATGGTAAAGTAGTTGAACCGAAAACCTAAAACTAGACACAACCTATCAGGTCTTGCAACGTTTTTCCTAGCATTTGGCACAGTCGCATGCATATGATGTTTAATGGTCGTGTGAGATTTGATAAAGTGTTCGACACAACCATACGAGGTCTAAGCCAGCCTGTTTGAGTGTTGTGAAGAGTATGGCATGGTCGTGTGAGTTCTTTGGCGTGTTTTGGCATTCCCACATCGTATATGTGCAATACAAGCGTTCCAAGATTAACTACAAGTAATGAGGTGCAGGTATGGTAATTGTAGGCAGTATACAAGCCTAAAAATACTGTTCAAGTATCCCGGTATGATGTCATGAGATTTTTATGACATTTTATATGACATTAAGTCATTATATATCGTTGACTTTAAAAAAAAAAAACGTGATAAATAATAAATAAAATAATTCACCTACCATTAAAACCACTTGTTATAATCTAGTGATAAAATTAATAGAGTTTGACTTTTTGGTGCCAATAGAAAAGAATAAATTTTTGACTTTCAACTATTATAACATTTCATTGCAACTCATTGAGTTGACTCACCAATGGCTACCATAACTTGTTATGAGTTACTAATATGTTTAAGTATATTTTAAAACAATTAGCAATGTCTTAATTAATAAGCCAAATTGTTAATGATGTTATATTTAATTTTAAAAAAATATTAAATAAATGACTTATCTTTTTGAGTATTTAAACATTTAATCATTTGTTACCTTTTAGTGATTAATTATTGATTAAATATTAATTATTCTTATTGTTTTTTTGTATTTTTAAAACAAAATAAAAACCTTGATTTGTTTTTGGAATTACTAGCGACAATGGAGTTGAAAATATATGGCTCCTTAGCCATGTGCCAAAAAAGGCATCAAGATTTTTCCACTTTTCAAAAGGAAACAAAAAAGCAATCCTTTTTTGGAAGGATTGTTATTTTTTTAATAAAATATATATAGACCAGAAGACGAACCTGTTTTCGTAAGACAACATAAATAATATCAGATATTTACAGTAAAATGTTGTAAATTTATAATATGTTGCTGTGAAGGTTAGGTGTTTTTACATTCATAGTGTTTTTACTGTAAAGGTTCGATGTTATTTTAGGTCTCATGAAAACAAGTTGGTTTTAATTATACAGAATAACACAAAGGTGAGAGATTAATGGTATATAATTTTTGGAATAGGGTCCGTTATAAAAGATAAAAGCATAAAATCTTAGCTTTGAATCGCATATTATGAAATAAAAGATGATGGGGTCTCTGGTAATCGAAATCAAACCAAACAAATTCAATATTTTTTTAGAATCAGATCAAACAAACTCAGTATTTTTATCGTTAAAAATGATAAAAACTTGAGATAAAAGTAGGAAAGTATTATATTGCAACAAAAAAGAAATTAATACCCAAACAAAATCCCAATTGAAGGATTAAAAAACACACACAAAACCATGATTTTAGATTTTTTTATTATTGTTATTATTATTAATTTTGCCATAATAAGGTATCAAAGAAAAAGCCACTAGAGGAAAGAAGACTCCCGGAAGAAGACGGCGGATCTCCGCCGAAATATCCAACGTCATCATAATCCTCCGGCCACGGTGGCGATGAGTAGTAATCCCAAACCGAGTCCACAAACACGAAATCATCCCTCGACTCGGCCGAGTCGTAACTCGTTCCCAAACTAGGTAGTTCTACTATCTCGCTCAGTTCCTCCGCCGGCGGCGTGCCAGTGGACACCTCCTCCGATGTCACCAACGACGCCGTTGATGACGAGGATGTCAACGTGGAACCCACTGAGTAAGAAGATGATGATGACGTGGAGGGTGTTGACGGAGGCGTTGCGGTGGTTGTTGTTGTTGTTGCGATGGTTGTCGGGTTGAGCTGCTCCATGGAAGCGGCTTTGGTCGCAGCGGCTTGGATGTCGCGTGGCGAACATGATTCGGGTCGGGGCAAAAGATCCGCTAGTTCGGGGAAATTAAGGATGGCCGTCTTCCCTTTGATGGACAGTGCAGCGACGTCGTGCGCACGTGCCGCCATCTCCGGGTTGGAGAAGGTCCCAAGCCAGATCCGAGATTTCTTCTTGGGTTCTCGGATCTCGGATACCCATTTCCCCCATGCCCGTTTCCGAACCCCTCTGTAAACCGGATGCTTGCTGTTATTATTGCTAGTACTATTACCACCATCATCATCCGCGTTCCTCTTCATCCTTTTCGCGTCGGGTTCGGTCAACCCGGTTCCTTTGGCAAATGGGTCCGAGAATGCAGTCCCCGAGTTGGGAGCCTCCACCATTGTGATCAAGAAAATCTTGAAACGGGTAATCAAGAAAATCTTGAAACGAATAATCCGACCCGAACTGAAAAAACAAGCTTTTAGAGAGATCTGGAGAGCAAAGGGTGTTGGGTTTATGAAGTCTAAATGTTGCCACAAGTGTTAGAAGTGTTTGGTGTGAGATGAGTTTATATATAGGGCATACTGAGAGGTAGATATGTATGTGTGTGTATATATACATATAGATATAGATATAGATATAGATATAGAGAGAGAAAGAGAAGTGTAGAGAGAGAGAGAGAAGGGGGGTAGCAATCAGAAACCGACCGAGGAGAGGGAAGGAAACCCATAAAAATAGTAATAATGAAGCACACAAATAGAGGGTATGTGAAAAGGGAATTTGAAAATAGAAAGAGAAGTAGTACCTACTGAAAATGTATGGACATAAGAGAGAGGGTATAATCTATAAACTATGCTTTTTAAGGGTGACATTACATAGTGCTATGGTTTGACATAAAAGTTAGTTAAAAACAAAAAGGGTATCTGATTGGTTTGAGCTTAGTTTTAAAGGTTAAAAGTATTAGAAGGTTACAGGTTCAAATTCAAGGAGGAATAAAAATCTCCTTATGGCCACGGAGGTTCAAATGCGGTGACTTCGGGCTATCTGCAAAGCAAGTAGTTGTCCTGGGATTAGTCGGTTTGCATAATAGGTTGGATATCCAGGTTTAAAAAAAAGTTGGTTAAAACAAATTCCAACTTTATATTTTCTAAATTTTTTAATTTAATAATAAAAACTCATTTATAAAGATTAAATTAATAAATAAATATTAGAAAAATTGCAGGTAAAATACAGCGTGATATATCTCGATCTCAGCACTGAAGCTTAAGCTTCGAGGTTGAGAGGGATTGTGATTCTTGTATCTTGATCAATATCATAGAAAGCAGTAGTCAATCTCGTGTTCATTCGTCCTCGAGTTCTAGCAAGAATCAACAAGAGATGTCGAGCTTTTGGCGTGCTTGTGAAGAAAGAACGAGGTAGAAGTAGAAGTAGCAGCCGTGTAACTAGTAGGAATCAACAAGTTTCAGCTAAAATTTTGTATCGAGGTTGATTTAATAGCACAACATGCTATGGAATGGACAAACATTGATTTTATGATTGAATGTGAAGCTTTAAAACCGTAGAATCGATTATACAAGCAACATGCATGTTGTTTTGTGTAATGAAAGAATGATTAAGGCACGGTTTAACCACCAAGGGTGGTGTCTGATTGGTTTGAGCTTGACTCCAAAGGTCAAAAGTATCAGAAAGTCTCAGGTTCAAATCCAAGAAGGAATAAAAATCCCTTTGTGGCCACAAAGATTCAAATGCGGTGACTCCGGACTTTTCTACAAAAGCAGGTGGTCATCCTGAGATTAGTCGGCTCGCATAGCGGGTTGGATATCCATGTTAATAAAAAAAAAAGGCACGGTGTATTAGTTAAAACCGATATTTATTCATGTTATCCCTGTATTGACCATCATGTGGTTCATACCAGTATACTTACAAGGTACAAGTTGATGTCAATGTTCAGTAGCCTGCTTAGACACTTGAATTGCATGTTACATGTGTGTAGGTACTTGTTTAGTGAGTCCAAAAAATCCTACTTGGCCAAGTGAATTTGATGGGACTTATAAAATCAAATCATGTCTATATATGTTTTCATGAATTAAATGGTATTTTTACATGTTTTAAACTACTTTAGCATGATAAAACTTATTTTGATATGACAGCAGTGTTATGTATAAATATAACAGTCTTAGTCTGTGTTTAAAAACACAGACCAAGGCAAATATTGGTACGGAATGGGATAAAAGTTTACTTCATTTAGAAAATGTACATGTCGAGAGGCCTTTGCATTGTATTTATATCAAATCAATGTATGAGGTGCCCTACTTCATACAGAACAACCTAATACATAATATTATGTATATATCTATGCGTTTACCGCAGTATGATATGTGTTAATATGCGTATTACCATGCTTTGAGAGTACAAAAGACAAGTTGACATTGTTATATATATATATATATATATATATATATATATATATATGTGTGTGTGTGTGTGTGTGTGTGTGTGTGTGTGTGTGTGTGTGAGCGATCAAATGCAAACCACTCAATTTGTACAAACCGTGCAAACCGCCCTCATTCGTCAATTTTATTGTTTAATCTTATGAAATTATATATATATATATATATATATATATAAATAATGTGTGTGTGTTGGCTTGTTTTTTTTAAATGATACGTTTAAACATTTTAGCCCGAAAACATTGAATTTACTGGACTTATTAACTTAGGGGCCGTTTACTCAAATACTTATTCGGTAAGCGTTTATCGGTAGGAGTCAATATTATAATCTACTTTACCAGATAAGATTGTAGTATATTAAAACAGTATCGTATGCAACAATTTACCCGGTAAACGTTTACCCGGGTAAGAGTCATCACCATCACTTACCGGGTAAGACTCTCTATCATCGCTCTTACCGAGTAAGATTTTCAGCCTTTGTCATATGCATCAGATAAGGAAAATTACTCGATCCACACTTATCAGATAAGTATTTAGTAAAGGGGCCCTTACTAATAATATGTATTTTTAGGTGCATGCACAATCATTAGAGCAAAAGAAAAGAGAAAAAATGTATTTTAATAGTAAATAAATCTTAAATTTAAATCACATATTTATTTTAATTTCCAATATTATTTTATCGGAAAAATACAAAAAAATAAAACGTATTTTTGTCAATTTCCTATTTTTGGAAACCTATCTTTTAAAAGTCTATTTATATCTACCACTTGAGGCTTTAATATCCATTTATAGCGTTGAAACTTGATGTGTTTTAAAAAAAATATACAATTATCAAATTAAACATTTATTTAACTACATTTTTTTAAATTATAAACATTTATATACATAAAACAAATTGCATGAAAAAGTAATGTACTTTAATTTGATTTTTATTATCAAAATTTCCATTTTGATCATAAGGACCATAGACTATGTCATATGGTCCTATTGTAGCTTAGAATACGGAATTTTTTTTTTCTTTTTTTTCCTTTTCATAAAAAGACAATTGGTTTTTGATCGATTAAATTCCCGGTATTTAAGTCCATCTTTATATACATTTTTAAACCAAGAAAGTCCCCCTTTAGCACCCGGGTAACCGGTTGAAGCATTAACCGGTTATCATGCTGATTTGACGAGTGATATGGTACCAACTCCGTATTATTTGCTGACGTGGTTAATGACATGAATTTTTTTAATCTAAAATAAGTATTTTTTTTATTAATCTGGATATCCAATCCGCTATGCGAGCCGACTAATCCCAGTGCGACCACCTGCTTTGCAAATAGCCCGGAGTCACCGCATTTGAACCTCCGTGGCCACAAGAGGATTTTTATTCCTCCTTGGATTTGAACTTGGGACCTCCTGGTACTTTTGATCTTTAGAGTCAAACTCAAACTAATCATACACCACCCTTGTGGTTGTATTTTTTTTAATCTTAATTAGTCTTCAACTGATTACCCGAGTACTTAAATGTTTAAAATTTTACATCTTAGGTATCAAAATGGATGTTTTGAAAAAAACGTTACTCAAAATATAAATCAAGTTAAAATACGTTACTTTTTCATGCAATTTGTCCAAATACATATTTGACAAAAAAAACATTTAAATACATATCTTTAAAATATATTTCTAAGAATAGAAATACATTCCATTGTTACCATTACTAAAATAACATACCTTTTTTGCATTCAAATATGATTCTCCCAAAAAAGCCAACATTTAGGAATAGGATGATGGAAGGGTTAGCATAGACCATAAGGACCATAGACTATGTCATATGGTCCTATTCTAGCTTAGAATAGGGCTTTTTTTCCTTTTCATAAAAAGACAAAAAATAATATTAAGTGGGCATCTTATATTTATCTGTTATCTGGTTTTTGATCGATTAAATTCACGGTATTTAAATCCATCTTTAAATCAAGAAAGTCCCCTTTAGCGATGTGACTCGCAGTAAGAAGTAATAACGTTAAAAGATTCATGAATACTGATCTTTAATTACAATATCTGTGTTTGTTTTATTAACTTTGATTACATTTAGTATATGATGTCAATGTCCGTGTAGCAAAATCCATTTAACTCAACTCTGGCTTCTAATAATCCATAATATGCCGAGTCAACTCATTAGGATCAACAATCAAATGGGTTTTCGAAACTGATTATACGTCAATTTTTATGATATCAGTGAAGAAAGCTGTGATTTGATAACTGAGTTTATTGGATTTGATTTGCAAAACATTTTGATTTCCCTCTTAAAATTTCAAATTTTTGATTGTCCTAAGAATATGGTGATAATTTGGGATCTCAAGGCATAATGAATGGTGGTGCATGGGACATTAAATTAAAATTAGGGGTTTATATATATATATATGGACCATATCTTATAAATGGTGTTGGATCACCCTTTTTATGGCTAACAAAGGAACCTTCATCAATACCACCCAAAGATAATATAATTTTGCTCTATCTATGTGCCAAATTTATGACTTATGTTCATCACATAAATTAATCATAAAATCAATAACTTAATGCACAATTATATATATATATATATATATATATTATATAAACATAAGAGACACATGGGTTGACCCACTACAGTATAGATGGTGACCCATTATTTTGTTCTTATGTTATAATGTAAAAAATTTAACCATAAGGGTGGGTGTATGATTGGTTTGAATTTAGCTTCAAAAGTTAAAAGTAGCAGGAGGTTTCAGATTCAAATCAAAGGAGGAATAAGAATTCGTTTGTGGCCATGGAGGTTCAAATGTGGTGACTCCGGGCTATCTGCAAAGCAAGTGGTCGTCTTAGGATTAGTCGGTTCGCATAGCGGGTTGGATATCCAGGTTCATCAAAAAAAAATTAAGGGTCATGAAAGATGTCAGTATATTATTTTGTTTGATGTAAACCATATGTTTTTCTTGAAATGATAATAATAACACAAGTTTTTATTTATAGAGTTGGTTTGCATGGTTTTTTCTCTCTTTTTAAACACGGGTTCAGACCTCATTTGTATCATTCTTTTAGGTTTTTAGTTTTTAATTT